TGTAACCTCAAGTTCACTCTTTTTGTATGAAACTTTCTACATTTGGGTAAATGACACAAGCATGGAAAGATATTTATGTCAAATGGGCAGTAGACATGTTGGTAGAATGCTTGTCACACATATTGAAAAAGTCAAGTCCAGACCTCATTGCTGTAAGGCTGTACGATGCCAATTCTTTGTTTGGGTATTCAGTTATTTAGTTAGTTGAAATCTTTTCATCCTTTCAACACATTCCTGCATTGCTTCAGTTAAAGTCAGGCATTAGCAATGAAAATCAGATGTGAATTTTGTTTCTTTATTCCTGTGTTTCAAAAACGTAATCAATAAACTGTAATCATCTCTAGCTGATGCCAATGAATATGATACATTATTCCCATGGATGTAGAAAATTTTAGTATGAAATCAAACATAGTATTTATATATTGAAGTAGTATAAAATATATAGGAATAATCTAGTTATAGTTTTGTACTTTGTACTACATACAATAACTACCTACACCAATTCCAGGACAGTTATGTAAAATTTAATGTGTTAACATCTGTTTTAATGTAACATCTTTATAATGTAAATGGATGACATTGTGATACACTACAGTAGTGAGTCCTTCAATACATGCCTTGAACATCATCCTTTTCAGAAGCACAGTACAGAAGCAGTGTACAAAATATTATCTGCAAGTTAACTAAATACATCAGTTGTTTTTATTTATACCGAATTATTTTTAGAGAACAGTAACCTGTAGTGTATTTTTTTCTGTGCAGTTGAGCAAGAATTCATTTAAACTTTATCAATTCACACACTGAGAACAGAGGCCTTAAATCATCAATAGCAATTGAGCAAGCCTAGAAGTGCATGAGTTAACTGCAGTACCTGTGAAGAAATGTAAAGGACACTGAAGAAACCTAAATATAATTAGATGATCACTTTCTGAAACATACAGTATTTGAATTAATACCAAAGCATATCCTGTTTCCAGATACATTTGTAGAGGGAGCAAAGAGCAGCCGTAGCAGTGATTTATGAGTCTAAATAACTTTTGTCTGATTTTAACACCACGAGAGGAGGAATTGTCTTGAACTCCTCATTCTACCTTTTTGCACATATGAAGTTAGAATGAGTCAGAATGAGACTCAGACAACTATTCTGCCTATAGTAGAGTTCATCAGCATAACAAAGCTAATTTTGATTACCGACATGAATGTATTTATGTATCTTAGAACAAACACTTTATGGTACATTATGTTTTGTCCAAAATATCCATAAGCCAATTATTTTTAATATCTTATGTACATGATAAAATGTCATTTCTTTATATATATATAAAGAGATTGCTATAAATAGATTGCTAAGAATCATTACAAGTAATATAAATGATAAACTGTAAAAGGCTCAGTTCCTGTTTCTCAGCTATAACATCCATCTAGTAGTGAAAAGCAATGAATCCTATGTAATGTGTAATTATACCTGCTATTCATTAGTAACCCTCTTTCTTTGAGATAGCCTTAAGGTCTCCTTCACAGCTACTGTTTATTTCTGCTTATGCAGTCATAGTTAGTTATAGTTAAAGAGTAGTAGCTAACCTTGGTTAGCAAGAACCCAATAAGGACAACGTGTGAATTAGACGATTCTATATAGTTCCACCATCTAGTGGTGAAAAGTGGGCAAAGAGCTTATTAAAGTATGTTTATATTCATATCCACGATATATATAAAAGACAATGAATTATATGTATGAGTATTCATTAACTTATTTTTTATTCAGTCACAACAGTACAGGAAAAAGAACTGTGTTATAACTTCTCATTTTGCCTTTATTCCATAAAATATGTAAAAGACATTTTGGGCTATATTATGACTTGCTAAGATAGTACAGAAAGATGGTGTGGGAAGTAAATGCTTTAAATGCAGCAACTCATTGGATGAACTAGTGACATTTATAATGTATGTACATTATACGCATGCACCCGCATACATACAGTATGAATAAAACAGTGCAGTTTAGATCATGTTATTTTAGTAAATCTCTCAGTATTATGTATTGTTTTTAGGCTTGTACTGTTTTATCTTCTAAAACTGTAGAAAAGTGATGCATTCCTTATTGTACCATATAAGACAGCATGGCTTCTTCTGTTTAATGGACCCTGGCAATCAGCATCTGCCAGTATAGTTCTCTCTGGAGAGTGTCAGTAGGTTCTTTGGAAGCTATTTTATTTAAGAATAATCTCTCTGGAGTGCTAGAGCCTTGTCACACTCTGTAGCCTCTTCACAGCAGAAAAGAAACAAACTCCCCTACATGAATAGGTTTTTGTTGAAAAGAATGATACAGGCGATCATCATCACAAGACTTCAGTAGGGAAAGCAGCAGTGGGGCCAGAGGCTGGAAAAACATATATTTGTCATCAGGGTGTTATGGACATTCCAAAACCTAAAGCAGTCAGCTGAGCATTCTTGGAATATTTTAAATTAAACTGAGGTATAATACAAAGATGCACTACTGTTCTGGATAATGCAGTATTTCCTGTTAAGTGGGCTTTGTTTTGTTTTTATGTAGATTTAAACTAAATACATTCCATGTATGTCGAATCCATTACTACAGTTGAAGCGTTCATTCAGTATAAACCCATTAATATAATATTGTTACACAAGGAGCTTGTTAGTGGAAATATATGTGGAACAGAAGATAAAGTTTTGACTTATTTAAGTGGAAATCATATCAATCCTGGCACATGCTTAACCATCCTGTATGTATATTGTACTAGTGAAAAACAAATGTTGTCACCATGTTGTTACCGCAACTTGAAATGAGATACTGTATGTCACAATTCTGTATAACACTAATAGAATTATTGTTTTTTTAATTACATATAGTATACAGAGTGTTAGTAACTGTGTATAAATAGTAATTAGAAAACAATTTTATTGTAGACTTTGATTATTAAAATATATTATAAATAGGAGCTTTAAATCATATCACTTAAAAGCAAATAAACAAGTAAAAACAAAACAAGTGACTTGAAGTGACTTTGTCAGTTGCATACTGTAAGTTGCATTGTATCTAATACAAGCCTGCACTATATTTAGATCAATGTACTAAAATTGTTAATATTACAATTCACCATTGAGGTACAGTATGCACCACTGAAAACATTTATTTAATATAATTTTAATGATCACTTTCAAGAAAGGGGTGTAAGTAATGGTATCTAGATGAAGGCAGTCTGTATGAATGACACTAATGCTATACTATAGTTGATCAACTGTACAGTATACTGTATATATCTGTGGATATGACTTCACGGATTCTTTGACGTGTGTCCTGTGTTGTAGTTTTTTTGTCCAAGTGTTCAGTTCATGTCTGAATTAAAAACTACATGGTACTATGCTACTATATGAGGAATACACTTGTACATATACAATATGAGAGAGTATTTAGAGACCAGAATCGCATCCAAAATAATCTATGAGGTTCTTTATATTGACCACCATTGTGCACTCAGAAATTATATAGTGGACTGAACCTTGACACCTCTCTACTGCTATATTCTTCACAACAACAAACAACTTAACTGTTTCTTGCTGCGTATTTTTTCCTATGGTAACTTGAGCTATAGGGCAAATTTCCATCCTAATAAATGGTCCATCCATCTGATCTCCAAATAGATTGAGATGATATCTTGCTAGTATTAATTAATGTAACCATTTAAAGACATGTAGTGATATAAAATAACTTTTCTTGTCAAATTTCTAGCTTTCTTTCAGAACGAATGAATGGGCTTTACCTCTGAAATGATCATTTTTAAACAATTTACAGATGTCCTTCAAAATTTTTAGAAAAAAGTTTTAGAAAATACGCAAATAAAATTAAAAATAGTGATTTAAATATACAGTATGATAGTAATTCTGACAGGTACATACAGACTCTTTAAAATTATATATATTATCAAGACATACATATTTTTGCTGAAAAGAAAAGAAACACATGGTTTTGGCTGTGGAGCCTTCTTCGGGTGGGAGGGTGTGAGTAACTGTGTTACACCCAAATCTTCACACCCGAAGAAGGATCCACAGCTTAAACGTTGTGTTTCTTTTCTTCTCTTTTCAGCATGGAATATGCCTTTACTTGTTTTTCTGCAGCCTACGCATGCTGATGCAGCTACCTACTATAAATATTTTTACTGCATTTATTTTCCAAATCGATAGAGAAACTTTGCAAGTTGTCAACATTGAAAAGTGTAATTTATGGTTTAAGATCGACCAAATTTATGAATAGGATATACATGTATCAGTGCAGGAAAGCTTTGTCCAGGACAGCAATTTCTCATTCGATTATCTGCAAGTATTATTTTCACTCTTTGTTCTTTATTTCTATAAACCTTAAACTGCATTATAATTTTGCTTAGTGCCTAGCCTAATTTGTTTAGTTTCTATTTTACTATATCTAAGAATGTCTTTGGTGTTGAGTTTTGATTTTGGGGGAAGACATTCTAAATCATAAATAAAAAAAAACCTGACAGGTTCTGCATTGTGCATTCTGAATGAAATGTCTACCTGGATAAAACGTAACAGTAGTTTCCTTCAAATTTCTGTATTTCATTTTACAACATAAGTATTTAAAGTCTTTTGAAGACCTCCTTGTACAAATCTAAAAAAAGTGCTCTCAGTAATGCTAATAGTCTACAATAAATCTTGGACAAACTGACGTTCTGTGCTTAACAATATCCTCATTGATAGATGTAGGCCATCGTCCATGCTGAAAAGCATTGTGCTCAGAAGATGAATTGTATTGGTATGCATGCAAAGAAAATACATTACGTAATGTAGATGAGTTTGACAGAGTATCTCCTTTTAAAACTCGAGTGTATAGAAGCACTGGGAGATATAACATTAAACCTAGCTAAGGAAAAAAGTCCCTGTCATTTGTCATCTCTCATTCTTCATATTTCTATGTATGATTTCTGGTCTATCAAATCTTTTTTTCCGATTTTTGTCCTTTATAACAGTGAAAGAGGCCATGACTCCCATAAAATTTAACAGATGGGGTCTCCCAGAGCTGGATCCAGAGACTATGCAGACCAGTGAACCATGGGTGTTTGCAGGTGGGGACATTGCAGGCCTGGCTAACACTACTGTAGAATCAGTCAATGATGGCAAGCAAGCTTCCTGGTACATTCACAAATACGTACAGGTGACGTATCCATTGACTGTTATATAATTTTACTTTAACTCATTTTATTTACTTATGAAGGTGTAAAAATGAAGATCTGTGATACAGGCGACCATCACTCTGGAAATACAGAAAATGTTTGCACAACTTGACAATTTATGAAAATCTATTTCTGTAATTAATAAGTGGCTAATTTATCCTTAAAAAAGTTACTACGGTTACTTCTTCATTCTAAGTCTAATGTCAAAGAGAACAACTTTCTCCAATGAATGATTTATGTTTCAGTTCAATTTTATCAGCATGATCGAGGCCAAATTCTAGGACAAGTATATTTTAAATTCATGTTTTTATTAATGGGAAAATACAATTATCTGATATTGCTGCACCTTACTGTATCTGTCAGATTCTAATTTTCAGTGTACTGTACATACTGACAAACCATGGTATCTTTTGTACATTTAAATTAAAAAAGAAAGTAGGAACCACATTTTCATACTTTATGTAACAGTGGAAAGATAATAGTAAATAAAATGGAATAACAATTTAAAGTGACCAAATACTATAAAAAGCCATTTTGTCAGAGCATTTCTGAACCTACTTAAATCAATGAGCTCTTTGGTCACATCCCACAAGTAGTGCATTAGCTCTCCATTGTGTATTGAAACAGTTCAATGTCTTGTGCTGTCGCTTTCAAATTGAGCAATAATAAACAGTAGGTACTTTTTCCCCCTAATGTATATATAGCCTGTTTTCAGCTTTTTATTTCTCCATTCTTATTAAGAATATTAAAATCATTACTGTTATCAGTTGTTTAGCAGTTAAAAATTTGCAAGATGCATTCAAGCCAGTATTATCCATTTTTTTAAACAGAATTAAAATGGAATCTGTTTTTCAGACATACGTAAGATATTATGCTATCAAACATTTTACCGCTTACAGTACATTCAATAGATGCTAATTTGTGAAAATTGTTTTTTCATTAGAACTGTAAGGCTTTGAGAATAGGAATTAATTTAATGTAATTAGATTGCTACCAGCAAATACCCTGAGGTGAGAGATGCATGCTTGTTGAAACTGCCATTCCTACCAAGGGAATGTTGAACAAGGAAGGATTAAATCATCTGATGCAGTGTTGACAATTTCAATGTGTGTTTTAGGAGAAAAGTAAACAACTTTGATACAATATGATAGCATTACATTGTATGTCAACAATATTTTATACTTTAAACCATTTTTGTTCAGTTTTTTGTGGAGGTGAAACACATTTTCATTTAAATTGTATTTGTATTTTATTTATCTTTAATCTAAACTGTAATCTTTTCTCCAGATATAATCAAAAGACATAAGAGACCATGTGTTTTGGACATAATGAGATCAGATTCACCTTTTGTTCTTTCTATTACATCAGAGGTCTTGTAGATTTTGTTACTGATGTATGATATATCTGTTTGTTCTGAATTTTTCTGTTGCACCTCGTTGTCTTTGTAATTTTATGTGAGTACAAAAATGTATGCGACACTGCTGTTCAAAATTACAGAGGCTACTGCACTTGTATGGATTGAAGCCACCACCCCCACCCCCCTTAGCAAATTGGCGTCTACTGGAGTCCCACAGTTGAAATCTTGAGATGTGGTTGTCTTGTCAAGTTTTGCAGACAAACCTCTTGACCTTTTTTCAATTCCCTCTATTGCCTGAAAGAATATTGTAAAGCACACTGCTTAGGAGACAGGATGGGTTCATTTGTAGGTTAATTGTCAGAAGGTAGTTCTGGTCAGTGGAAAGCAAAGTTAAGTGTTTATTTGTAGATTAAATTACCACTTCTACAGAGAAAGGAAGTACAGCAGATTGCTTTGCTTTTACAGTAATGGACTATGGAAGAGGAAATGAATCAAGCAATTTGCAGGATGATTTACAGATTAATTCCACAGTTGCACAAAGATCACTTGAACCTTCAATTGAACACATCCTCTTCATCTTTAATCTTTTATATAATAAAATGAAGAAGTACAAAACTTCGTCTTTAAGGCTGTTCTAAAAACATTTTTCCTATTTTAAAAATGTAACCTTGAAGTCATAACTAGTTAACATAAGTTTAGTAAAAGCTTTATCACCTTTAAGTGTTTTCCTTACACTGCAGTTAAAAAAAGGAAGGGTAAGATTTTACAATTTGGTATCACACTGATGAATAAGGCCTGCATGGTATAATACTTTTATTGTGCTTAATTTCAATGGAGATCTGCTTTTATTGCACTGTTACAATACTTTTACATTACTCTTATCAGTAATTATAAATAACTAAAAAAAAGACAGCAATGAATTTAATTTATTTATTATACATATATGTACTGTACTTCTTTCCTTATGGGGGTATTACAATGTGTTCCTTAACAATTTTCATTATGTTACCATGGTAAACAAATATGAAGCAATGTTTTTGTTCTTATACTCATTAAAACAACGTTTGCATAATCTAAATTGTTCATATTTAAATCTCCCTCTATCTGCAGTCACTGCATGGCCGTTCTGTGGACTGTAAACCCCAGCTTCCTCTGTTCTACACCCCTATTGACCTGGTTGACATCAGTGTTGAGATGGCTGGGCTGAAGTTTCTGAATCCCTTTGGTTTGGCAAGTGCTCCACCGACAACCAGTACAGCCATGATCCGGAGAGCTTTCGAAGAAGGCTGGGCATTTGCTCTCACCAAGACGTTCTCCCTCGACAAGGTAGAATTAGACTGACAGCAAACTTGGAATGATTTTATTGTTTTTCTTTTAATGGAAGGTTGTATAGAGGTTTCATTATAAAAAGTGTAAATATAAATACAAAACTGCAATTTTGAAACCTTTCCAATGTTATGTGATACTATAGCAAAGCAGAAAAGTCTCTGCTATAAATTACTGAAGCATTATTGCAGTTAGGTTTCATTATTATTGGTGGTGACAAATGGAAAATTTCTAGGATGAATCGAAGATGATAAATTACATAGTTTTTATTCACGAGTAGTTTCAGCATTCAGATTTCAACCATGGTCAAGCAGATGTATTATACAGAGAACAACTGTAGTGTATAATATTGTAATTAAAACATTCCACCAAAGATATGACATATCTTGTATGTATTAATAAGAGAACAGAAGAGCAATTAGGTGACCATCGTGGTTTGCCCATTTTAGCTATGCTTTAATTGTATTGCCGCTAGAATTATATTAAGTTTGGAGTTAATTGGTCACCCAGTTGTCATTCAGGGTAATGGCCCAAATTTAAACCAAGGTTAGAAGTCATGACCCAGTATTGAAGCACTCTCAGTGTTGATGAAATTGCAATTTAATTAGTGTGGAAGATTTCGAAAAGGTGTTCAAATATGTGGTTGGGGATCCAATGTTTATGTGAATATACCTGCCTAGTTGGCAATTGCTTGACTACTCTGTCTTTGTGCAGAATAAAAAACTCAAAGATGTTTATTCATTAAGACATATTTGGTTGAATAAGAAAAATTGTGAGATCGATTCCTTTAATACCTTTATTTGGAAAAATAGTATGTGATTTTCACCCTATTAAAACATTTACATTTTTGCCTCATTCATAAAATCACAATAAGGATAAATAACGTGACGGTTACTGTATGTTACTGTATATTGGCACATGAAAAATTAAATGGCAACTGTCAAGGAACCAATTAATCAGGCAGTACAAAAATAAAATTCTGACAATGGAGCTGACAGTAAAGCTAGTAGAATTAAAAAAAATATATATAGCAGACATGCAAAGGAAGACAAAATTCTCCACTCAAGAAGTTATTATTCTCAGAGAGGATCTTGTGAAAACAGGAGACAAGATATTTGACACAATCCTCATTGAGGTGGTCACACTTGGTCATTTAAACCCAATTTTTAGACAAATAATTTAGATAAGTAGAGACAGTTTGTTTGTTGAGCTGAAGTCTTTGCCTTGCATCATTATTGGGAATAGAAAAATGATTATTTTTCTCTTTAAAGGTCAAGAAAATGGAGTTGAAATATTTAATAAACCATCTTTCATCACACAATAACCTTAATTATCTCAGTCAGTTAGTTAATTTAAACCCATATTACCCATCAGACATGAACATTTCTCCCAGATTTCACCATTAACCTTGTACGTTATTATTGATGAACAAAATTATAATGGCAAGTACATCAATTATTCAAAGAAGTAGCAAAATAGCATATGGTATCTTCCCTGTCAATAAGGTATTTGCACAACATCACCTTTTTCTCTGTATGCAAATAAGAGAAAGGGGACGTTTTGACAATATTGCCTTTAATCACAATTATGCAACACCCATGCCAGTAAATCTTATGAAGCTCTTTAATTATCAGTAAAAAAGAACAATGAGGTGGTAACAGCCTTTAATGCCATGATAAAACAGATGGTAATTTTTATACATGCCTTCACCCCACCCCCGTGTGATGACATACAGATGGGCAGGTGTGATTAATACTAATTGAAAGTAGTGGGCATATACTGTATGCATATGGTAGAAAACCTTCCTTTCTTTTCATTTCCTTGTTCTCAATATTTGAGATTGCTGGATGCACATTTACGATGCAGGATTCTCTTTGAAAAGCATCCATGCCTGCATCCATTCGCAGTAAGTGTCATCCTTAGAAGGCCGAGATAATTTCTACCACAGCTGGCCGAGGGCACAAGTTGGAGCTAAACCATGGGAAACACACAAGTGCATTGCATGTCACACACACATGGGGCAATTTAGAGACACCAGTCTACCTAAACAGCCCGCATCGCCAGACAGTGGAGAAAGCCCACATGGACAAAGGGAGAGCATGTAAACTCCACTTGGAAGACACTCAAGTCAGAATCAGAAACCCAAGAGCTATGAAGTAGCAATTCATGGGCGACAATGACTATTGAACATTGAAGAGTGAAAGAGTTGATTCTACATGAAACTAGGTGACATCTAGTGTGTATGTATGTGAACTGTGCAATAATGCCGGATTTTTTAGATTTATTTTGAAATATAAATTTGTTTTAGTGTCCCTGTTTTTGAAATATACCTTCCCTTCTATGTTAGTTGTCCCTGCAAGGGATTATTTGGGGCTTTGATATCAGTCTTCTAAGGTTATTACAACGACAGGTTGGAACACTATTATTTGTCTTCAACACAAACCCGGACTACAGAGTCATGTCTAAGCCCTTTTGATGTGAACAATAAATCCCAAATAAATTGTTACTTTAACAGGAAAAAAATAATGCTTTTCTCATGCCTTACCTGACAAATGATTTTTTACACAACTGTTTTGTACAGTACCACCCACCTGGCTTTTGTGTTACAGATCAGAATATTCACAAATATTGTTTGAAGAACTGCTATAACTATCATGAAATAAGGAAAATATACTGGTACAGTAGAAGTAGCAGTATAATAATTTCAATATTGGACAGAACTTTTTAGTCCAGTGACCTCTGCATTATATTATTCTTATTCAGGTACTGTTGACTAAGAAGGTTTTATGCGTTAATGGAATTTTTTTTTATGAATGCAGATAAGCACAAGACCTTTGGTAATTTGATATCTCTGTGTCAATGAGGGGAAAAAAATGGATAAATTCACTTAATTGTTATTAATAGACTAGAAAATATCAGCCTCAGTGGAAACTTAACATTTGTTCTTGAGAAAAAAAAAATCATGAATTGTTTATTAAGCTTTATTAGAAATATTTTGTTTTAATTTAAGTTTTAATTCCAGTGATGTGAAAATTAATCAGCAACATCTGTTTGTTCTGTGCTCACTGGCATCCCTTGATTAGTGAAGCTAGAGATGAAAATGGTTTGTTTAAAGAACACCCTTTGTTCTGAATAGTAACAGCAGTTTCTATACTGACTGTTACAGGATTCTGCGTAGTGTCTTCATAACAGTAAATCATCTTGGAGAATAATTTAACTTGACCTGTAGCTAGCAACCTTGAAGCTAGATTTTGATTGTTGAACAACTTTTGCAGAGAAATTTTATGTTTAATGCACAGACAGCATGAACAGTTTGATGATGCATACCTAAATGAAATCCATAACCTTTTTAATGGACAGCTTCCATTTCTAATCTAAAAGGTCATCTATTTTTTCTCATAATATTAAAAAAGACATTAATCAGTGTGTAGTGTATTTCTACATAAAAACAGAAACAAAGATATTTATCTCTTCCTGTATGATAAGAAAACCCGTTGCATTCTGAAGGACTGTGAGAACCTCAGCATTTCACGCAATATAATATACAATGACAAAAGGCTGTGCAAGAAAAAAAATGTAAGCTCTAATATGAAATATTAACATTTTAGAATACAGTTTTGATGAAGTGCAATTTGCTTTGCTTGCATACGATGGAGAAATTAAGTACTTACCAAGGGAGTTCAATGAGAATTAGTACCCTGCCTGAACATCTGCTTGAAATTTTATTATCCCATCCTGCAGACACCATTGCTCCCTGGCTGAGCACTTAGATTGACAGCTGAATATTGCACTGATTTGGGCTCAAATATGTTTATGTGAACTTTGTTTCTTTTTTAGGAATTTTGTACGTGTGCTTCTAGCTTGCTTTTTTCCTTCTTTACTCTTGACATTTGTAGCTGCCAGATTGGGGTCTAATATACTGTTGCAGCGAAAGGCTGTCAGCTTGCAGTGAAATACCAGCTGATATCTCAGTAAACAGAAATCATATTATTCTTTATTGTGTGCTCTGTGTGAAAGACTGTATGGAGCTTTCTTTAGGGAGATAGATAAATAAGTTCTTAATGTCAATATGAATGAACAGACTGCATTCTGCTATCATTATACTTAAACATGAGGGACTTCTTTTTAATATCCTGTTCACTGGTACCATACTCCTATCAACACATTACCATAGCGTAGTATTGATAGTATTCAAGATGCATAGTGGATTTTCTGTGGATATGAAAATCTTTCTGTGCTCTGTCTGGACGAAAAAGAATGCATGCAGAATAAGTAATTAGTTTATACATATGGTGACTAAAAATGTTCTTAAGGGTGAACTGATAAACTGTGCTATCAGTAATTGTAATGAGTGAACCTCAGCAAAAATATATTGTGTACTTCTTGTGTTGAGCTGTTTAAAGGGAAAATGTTTAAAGGGGAAATATGCCATATAAGGAAAGTCTTCAGCTAGGTAGAGCACTTTAAAAAAAGTGTGCTGTTTGTACTTTTGTTAACACCAAACAAGATACTAGACAGTTGAATCTGTGATTGATAAATTTAGACTCTCCCTAGTTAATTAGAAAGCCTAAAGATCTATTTTAGTACAGCACACTGAACCAGAAAAACCAGGGAATCTTTGATAGATCATGCCACTGGGGCCCAATTAGCACTGTGACTGATAAGTTTGAGATTAATCACTGTGCTGTGTGCCTTGGAAAGACCTTTGGTTTACAACATAAAAGTAAAAAAAAAATAAATTACATCTTTAATTGTTAATGAGTCTAAAACACTTTATCCATACCAATGTTGTAGACAAGTTGAACAGTGTTCTATGCAGAGGTACAGTATGTCCAGTAAGTTGTATTTTAGAGAAAGTATACCATGCAAATTATTCATTTCCACCAAGGTTTTATACACATTTTTGTGAAAGAATAGAACAATAAACACACCATGATATCCTCTCAAGTTGGCACAGTTTGTGTACTAACTGGAAATGCATGGATAAACATTCCTGTAAA